ACTCCACCCCCTTCCACTCCCCCCCTCAATACCCAGCAGAAACTATTTTGCCCTTATCTCTAAATTTTGTTGTAGAGAGAGTATAAGCAATAATAGGAAGGAACAAGGGGTTTTGCTGGTTGAGATAAGGATAGCTATACAGGGCATTGACTCACATTGATTTCTGTGCGTGGGTGTTACCTTCTAGGTTAATTCTTTTTGATCTAACCTTTTCTCTAGTTCCTGGTCCCCTTTTCCTATTGGCCTCAGTTGTTTTAAGGTATCTGCTTTAGTTTCTCTGCATTAAGGGCAACAAATGCTAGCTAGTTTTTTAGGTGTCTTACCTATCCTCACCCCTCCCTTGTGTGCTGCTTTTATCATGTGCTCATAGTCCAATCCCCTTGTTGTGTTTGCCCTTGATCTAATGTCCACATATGAGGGAGAACATACGATTTTTGGTCTTTTGGCCAGGCTAACCTCACTCAGAATGATGTTCTCCAATTCCATCCATTTACCAGCGAATGATAACATTTCGTTCTTCTTCATGGCTGCATAAAATTCCATTGTGTATAGATACCACATTTCTTAATCCATTCGTCAGTGCTGGGGCATCTTGGCTGTTTCCATAACTTGGCTATTGTGAATAGTGCGCAATAAACATGGATGTGCAGGTGCCTCTGGAGTAACAGTCTTTTGGGTATATCCCCAAGAGTGGTATTGCTGGATCAAATGGTAGATCGATGTCCAGCTTTTTAAGTAGCCTCCAAATTTTTTTCCAGAGTGGTTGTACTAGTTACATTCCCACCAACAGTGTAAGAGGGTTCCTTTTCCCCGCATCCTCGCCAACACCTGTTGTTGGTGGTGTTGCTGATGATGGCTATTCTAACAGGGGTGAGGTGGAATCTTAGTGTGGTTTTAATTTGCATTTCCTTTATTGCTAGAGATGGTGAGCATTTTTCATGTGTTTTTCTGGCCATTTGAATTTCTTCTTTTGAGAAAGTTCTGTTTAGTTCACTGCCCATTTCTTTATTGGTTCATTAGTTTTGGGAGAATTTAGTTTTTTAAGTTCCCTGTATATTCTGGTTATCAGTCCTTTGTCTGATGTATAATTGGCAAATATTTTCTCCCACTCTGTGGGTGTTCTCTTCAGTTTAGAGACCATTTCTTTTGATGTACAGAAGCTTTTTAGTTTTATGAGGTCCCATTTATCTATGCTATCTCTTAGTTGCTGTGCTGCTGGGGTTTCATTGAGAAAGTTCTTACCTATACCTACTAACTCCAGAGTATTTCCTACTCTTTCTTGTATCAACTTAAGAGTTTGGGGTCTGATATTAAGATCCTTGATCCATTTTGAGTTAATCTTGTGTATACAGATTTTTCATTTCCAATACATACATTAGAAAGTCCCCAGGCTTTCAATATGTGTGTGTCTGCATAATTCTGTATGTTTATAGATATACGCATAAGGTTATGTGTGTAACTATACAATTTAGATGGAAAGATATTTTTGTCTGACTGGTATTTTGTATTGTTTCAGACTCTTGGTTCTTGAATGTCTCTCAAAGAAGGCTGAGTTTTATTTTCTTGTAATTTATAAGAGCCTGTAAAAACTTCAAAACCTTGTTTGGATGGTTTTGGACTATGCCTAGTGAAAATATCTCTAAAAATCCATCTATATAATTCAATGTTTAACTTAAGCAATATAGAACTTTTACTTATTCCTTCTTTAACATGAAGCAACAAAATACCCCTCAGATGAAAATTTAAAAATACTGCAGAAGGAAAAATACTAAAAACGTAGGAAATGCTGTACATAATATGTTGGCTTATTTCAGTATACTCTGGGCTGATGATTTTCAATCTAAATATACTAGAATAAATTACTAGTGAAATTAACACTGTAAGGGTAAAACTTTAATCTGTTTAGGAAAGTAAACTCCAAGTGAACCATGTACATAACATCTGAGAATAGATTGACTCTGTCCACAGAACTATCTGTGAATAGTTCCTCATTTCAACACCTGGTCAAAGAGCCTTATTAGCCTCAATTCATCACTTTACTTATAATCAACAGAACTTAATTTCTTTGAAAATAATCTTTAATTCTGGCCTCTGTGTTAGAGACTCCAATGACACAAGCAAGAAAACTTTCAATGTCCCAGTCTCTAGAATTCAATTATTTCTTCTTCAGTATTTTTTACTTGCTGTTCTTCATATTGGATAATTTTCATTGCTTGATCTTCAAGGTCACTTTCTCATCTCCATTCTGTTATTGAGCCCACTTGTGGATTGTTAAATTTCAGATAATACATTTTTTAATTCTAGAAACTTAATGTATTTCTCTTGCTACAGAGTGTTTCTTTGAAAATCTCTTTTTTATTCATTTCAAGAGTATTCATCTCAATTCATAGAAAATAGTTCTGATAGCTGCTTTAAAACCTGTCTGATAACTCATAATCTGAATCTTTAGGTTGATATTTTCTGATTGACTGTTTCTCTGAGAATTGGTGAGATTTTCATGGTTCTTGATAGATTAAGTAATTTTAGATTGTATCCTAGACATTTGAATATTACCTTGTCACAATTTTCATACTGTTAAAATTCCCTGGAGAAGGTGGAATTTTTTTTTTTAAGCAAGGCATCCATCTTTTCTTCCTACCCTTTCCTTCTGTGGTGGCAGTTTCCATGTCAACTCAGTTTGTCATGCCCTTTGTGTGCACCTTGGGTACTTGACTGGTTCTTACAATGCAATTCAGTTCTCTAAGACTTTGTTATACATCTGGGCATTTTTCTGAGCTTGTGCAGCTTGGGGGTGAGGTTGGTGTTTGTATAGGCTCACATACAGAATTTCAGAGTCTCTTCTTCTGGTCTCTTGTCTGTGGAGTTTCCTTTATACCTTCAGACTTCCAGGGCTCCTTTCCCTGTTTCTCTTGCCAGAAAGATTTTATTCTCTTAGAATTTTGGCCCTGTGTGTCCAGTGACACAGTTCCATGCAATTGTGCCACAGAACAAAAGAGCAAGAGGCAAAAAAATACATAAGTGGGACTCCCCGACTGTTTGGTCAAAGGTTGTAACTACTGGCTCCTCGACCCAAGGGTTGGATCATCTTTTGGATCACAAGTGGCATGCCTACACCAGGATAGCAGCACAGATCTGCATTGTAGCTGGCCTGGAGACAGGACTAGGGGAGTAGAAGAAGAGCTGTAGATGTGGGGATCCCTTGCTCTAGTTTTCAGGGGCCCTGATCCTGGATCTCTACTGGAATGGTAGTCTTGACTAGCATTTCTTGTCCTTTGTACCATTTGCACAGCTCTTAGTTTGGCTTGCCTTCAAATCCAGGAGCCGCACCCCAGACCCCTTTTAAAAATTTTGTTTTTGAGACCTTTACCTGAGTTGGCTTTGGATTTATGATCCTCCTGTCTCTGCTTCTGGAGTAGCTTGGATTACAGGCATGTACTATCATAACCAGCCGTGAGTTGACCTTTAAGGTTTGACCTCCATTCTATATCCACTTGTCAGAGTCCTCAGACAGCATTTGTTCACTATACACTTTTAGTTGTGGTTAGGGGAATGACAAAACAGCTCCTCATTCTGAGGACTGCCTCTTGTTAGTGTTTATACTCCTCAAACTTGGTACAGGACCCACCATGAGCTAGACATCTCCACCCTTTTTTGTGAGTGAGATGAAAGGAAATGAAAAAATGTGAGACTCATTAATTATCTATTAAATTTTGGTAGGACAGGGCTGGCAAATATTTGTCCTACAGTCCGCAACTCTTACATTTCCACACTCAAAACGGACATTAATACAGTTGCCTTTCTGAAGCCAAAGAAAATTGGTTTCAGGATTCTCATGGACCCCAAAACCCATGGAGTCTCAAGTCCCTTCTATTAAATGTCATAGTGTTTGCATAGACCCTCTGCACATCCCTCATTCCACTTTATATCATCCCTGGATTACTTATAATACATTATGCAATGTGAATTCTATGTAATTAGTTATTGTACTAATATATATTATTTAATTGTTATTGTAATTATTGTTTAGAGTATAATGATAGAGAAAAGTCTGCAAATGTCATTATACACACACTTTTTCCAAATATGTTGTGTCTGAGGCTGGCTAAGTCCTCAGATACAGAGCCTGTGATTTGGAGGGACAGCTGCATTTCTTCACTGCCCTGCTTCTTGCCAAGCCTGAGTACAAGTGTGGGACCCTTTCTAGCACAGCTGACCTGAAGCCACGCAGAGTGGTCATCACTGCCATGTGAGGAAAGCTGACTCATCCTGGTCTTCAGGACTTAGTTACCCCCACAAAGACTCAGCCTTCCCTTCTCATCTCTGTGGCTCCTCTCCTCAGATTTCTCTCTCCCCCCTCCTCTTCTAAGATTCACGTTGACTGACATAGTTCTTCTTTGCCAGGCTGGCTTATTGAGAAAAAATAATTCTTTGCTTTACAATAAAGATACTATATGTTTAAAAAATCTAATTTGACTAATATGTTTCGCTGAGCTTTCTTCATTTATACCAACAAGAATTCATTTTAGTGTTTTAGCCTCCGGGAAATGATGAATTTGTTTAATAGATTGGTAATTATCCAGCTCAGAAATGATCATTAGAATTCCTTTTCATTTGATTACTATAAATCACCAAACACACAATCCATTTATCACCAGCTGCATCCATTAACTCAGCCTTGCTTGTCCTTGACTACAAGCCACCTGAGTTACTCATTTTGATTCTTTCTAAGTATAAATATTAATAGAAAGTGGTACTCCTTAAGTAAATCTGATATAAAATTTCAGATTTACTTGGAAAGCATAGCTGTACAAACTTTTATAAATGATTTAGCTTTTATTGTCTTAGAATATTTTTCAAGTCAGCCATGACTTGAATAGAAGTGTCCTTTTTGGTTAGGAGTTTGGGGTGATTATTATCAGTTGTCAAAGGATCACTCCTGGACAAATATCATCTTAGTAGAGAAGGTGAGGCTGTGCTTGTAAATCACGAGAATGTCTTTCATATCTGTACTTTTGGCGCTAACTAAACACCTGTATGTGATGTACTAGATAGAACTTGAGGTATTACAGTTCTGAAATGGAAAATCTGGTCAGAAAACTGAGCTCCCCCAGTATGTTATGTGTGTGTGTGTGGTGAGAATTACAAGCATGAAGACTTGTCATGAAGAATGTCACCTACGTGGACATCACCGAACCTAAGGTCATCTGGTAAGAACTCATGTGTAAGATAATTCAGGACCCCTCCTCTGGGATTCCATCTAGCAGTGTTATGATTGGATTTAGACAAATGAAGAGCAAAGAAAGTTACTGTAGGGCAGTCTGCTTAGTCCACAAGCCAACTGTGTTTTTCTTTCCCCTTTTTTCTCCTGCGGTCTCTAGTTTACCGTGGTTTCTGGGCAGTCCTGATGCTTCTAGGGGTACTCGCTGTTCTGACTGCAAGCTTTCTGATCATCTGTGCAGCCCCCTTTGCCAGCCACTTTCTCTATAAAGCCGGGGGAGGCTCATACATCGCTGCAGGTAGGTACAGTGCAAATCCTACTGCATCCAGTCAGAGTCTGTCTCCATATCTTCATTGTCTCTAGCTTTGGACTTAGGTCTAGATTTTGGTTTTCCAGTAATAGTCATATAGTAATGTTCACATGTAATAATTCTTGCCTGCTAACTGTATGCCTGACACTTTCCAGAACCTTTCCATTTTCCATGTGCTATCACACTTAACCATCACGCAGCCTAGTTTGGATGTCTCCCCATTACAGGAATGCCAACACTGAGGGTTGGAGGGGAGAGATCTATAAGGTCCTTAGTCCCTCTTGCTTTATTAATTTCCTATCTGCAAAATAGTGGTCATAACACATCTCTCCATAACACCAGGATGTAGGTGAATGGTTTTGTATACTCTTGAAAAGATAGCCGCATGGTGACATTTTTTGATAGACCTATCCTCATGGTTTATTTAACACAAGTGAAAAATCCTTTTCTACATTGTTACTATTCAGTTTTCTTAACTGTGGTTCACTTGTATTATCTAAATATATTCTTTTCTGTATAAAATCTGCATATATTTTCATCAGCTTTCTGACTAGTTTTTCTAATTCCTGCTAAAATGATCATGGTAGAAATAGAAAAGAAATTGAATGGATGAGTCTAGTGAATTTTAAAGCTTTTTTCATTTAATTTGGAAGTAAAAGCCAGATCACTATTATGAAAAATATAAGCACAAATATTGTAAGGATAAAGAAAGATAGACCAACTTCAGCATGCCTGAGACCAAACTGCCCTGATCATGCTACACCATGGCATCAGATCAGAAGAATGCTGTGTTTCTGTGGACATTGTAGTAAAGTTAAAGGAACAAAGCAGAATGGGTGGCTCTGCTGTCTTTAGAATTATTGCACTGACAGTTCACAACATAACTCAATCAGTGACCAGTCAGCAAAACTCTCTGCATAAATGGTGCTTAATTCTTCAGAGGGAATAAAAGGATAATGAGTTATGGATCCTCTGCTAAAGAGCTCAAAAAAATAAAAAGAAAAAAAAACTGTGAGAAGAGCTCTGTTTAAGTGCTCTGTCTTTCTTTTGTCTTCTACTTCAACTTTTTTTTAATTGGATTTACTCACTAGAGCACACAGTATTTTAATAATCTTTTTTTCCTTTTGTGGCACTGAGGTTTGAACTCAGAGCTTCAAGCTTGCTAGGCAGGTGCTCTACCAAACTGAACCATATCTCCAGTTCTTTTTTCTCTGATGATTTTGGAAATAGAGTCTCCTTTTTTACCCAGGCCAGTTTTGACTTCAATCCTCGTAACTGAGGCTTCCTGCCATCACTGGGATGACAGAAGCACCACCACATCCAGTTTGCTTTGGTTGAATTAGGGTCTTGCAAACGTTTTTGCCTTGAACCACAGTCCTCCTGATCTCAGCCTCCCAAGTAGTTGGAATTACATGTTTGAGCTGCTGTGCCTGGTAAAAATCCTTTTTTTATTAAGGTAGAATTCACATGGCATCTAACTTACCACTTTGAAGTATCAGTGAGATTTTTAATATGTTCACAGATTCTTCAGATATCACCACTATCTTATTTCAGAGTATTTTTATCACACTGGAACTCTGTCCTCCCTTTTTCTCCTCTTACCACAAACCCTAAGAAACCATTATCCTATTTTCTGTCTCTATGAGTTTGCTTATTCTGGGTATTTCATGTCAGCTGAGTCATACCACACATGGTACATGGCCTTCATGTTTGCTTCTTTCACTTAGATCTCATGCTTTATAAACCCTCTGCCTAAATTCATAATTCTGTTAAGACCAAACCCATTATAGCCCTTAGTGTCTTCCTTGCCAAATGGTGTTTCTCTCCTAAACTGCATACTTTTATATGGTCTTCCCAGAAATAACAGCCCTCTGCTAAAATGTGTAATTATATGTTTCTTTTTATCCTTTGCTTTCTTTTTAAAATAGTTCGTCGATAAAGGAAATATAAAATAACAGTAATTATAACTAACACATTATGAGTAGCATGATTGTTTTAAGCCCAGAAATAATTTGATCCTAGATTTGCTCCTATTAGAGTACTGTGTGTGTGAGTCTATATGTGTGTGTGAGTCTATATGTGTGTGTTTAATACTTTTGGAAATTTTCCATTTTATAATTTGTAAAAAAAAAAAGCAGTATACCCAAAGAATTATATTTGGCTAAGATCTCTGTAGGAAGATAACACATTTGACAGGAACTCATATAATTCTATGCATGTGACCAGTGGGTTTTCTTTAGTCAGTGAATCTCATGTTGCATATAGTAAAAGACAGAGAGGTTCCTTTGTTAGTAATTCATGCAAATGACTTTGGAATTCTGAGGTTTTCTGGGAGCCCATTCTAAAAGCCACTAAACTAGGTGATTATGAAAAGCTTTTCTTTAAATTTTACTTTAAATTTCCTTGGTGACACACCTCTATATTGTTTGTGTATTAATTTTTGTTTTGCAAGAATAGAGAGAGAGATTTTTGTTGTATGATCTAAAATATTGCTACTCATTTTATCATTTGGGTCAAGAAAAGTCATCATGTGTTCAGGGGTGAAGTTGACTGTCCAATAACAATTTCAACCATGAAGCACAATCTTTTTAAATAGTTATGAAGCTAATAAATATTCTTAACCTTGAACATTTAGGGACATAGAATTTTTTAACTGTGACAACTGTTATTAACAGTTTCTGACAATGTGACTAGGCAACTTGTTCTTTCAAAGTAGAAGGTGCATGCTTACATGCTATTCTATGGAAAACATGGAATATTTGTCTTATTCTAGGTTTGTCAACCAGCCAAGTTTCTTCTAATGTGTCACATTTAATACAGCACCACACATGTCATTTACTGAGCTAAACTGAGTTGAATTTCTAAGGCATTTTTTGGTTGGATTTTATATGTTCAAAATATGGAGGTCTCACTAATGTGCCAACTATTCCAAAGTCTCTTCCATTTTAGGGCTTGCTTGTCATTGCCTCCTTGTTTCCCATGCCTTTCCTATGCCAACACAGTTCTCTGCTGGACAGTTAGGAACAGGTGCAGCCTGGGCTCAGTGTGCTGTGGCTGCTTTATCAATGCGACAAACAGGACTGGACACTCTTTATTTTGGCAGATGAGTCTTAGGGAAGGGCACAACCAAATTCCAATGTCCATTTTGGGGCATGTGCATGTAGGAAGACTTTTAGCATCAGCAGAAGATTGTTTGGGGGGCATTTCATGCTTGGCAAAAGGGTGCTGATGCTGCAGCTGTCTGTTGGGAGCAAGGGGTGGGTCTGTGGTATCTCTGTGCTGGACTAAGAAAATCCAAGCCTAGAAAGCAGGTGTGGCCATGCCCTACATGCCCTACACTTAGGCTGATCTTTCCTCAGGCAGACCAGGACATGTGTTCCTGAGGAGGGTCCGTGCTAGACAAAGCATTGGTAACTGTCAGGACATCATGACTCAAGTCTGTGTTTCAGTAAGTCATCACACACCTCATAGCCTGACTAACTGCTGTGATTAGTTTTATTGTGGATGCATGGAGAACTCTGATATCAACGAGAGGATTTGTCATTTGTGTTCTCTTGCCAAAATACAAGTGTCAATCCCTTGTTGAATATTTGAAGTAATGGGAAAGCAGCAGGGAATGTTGGAGTGAGTAGGGATGGCAGACCAAACACTTGGGTTATACAGAGAAAATTATTATAGAACTGAACATTCCCAATCCCAGTCTACATGGAACAACATAAGCACAACTATTCATGTGCAGGAGTAAGTCAGGTGAGTGATGAGATGGTGAGGACATTCTAGAACGCTGAAACTGAGGGATAAGTCATTATAACCAGAGCTGGTATTTTGCCAGCAAGTCAAGGTAGAAATGCCCTTCTGCCATAATTCATAGCTCCTTGTCCTGAAGAGCAGGTTAGGATGGCTGCTAAGTTTGTGTGCTAACTGGAGAGGTGGACAGAGTCTCTGACCTGGGGCTGGAGCAGAAGAGCTTCTGAGTCTTGACCAGAGCTCTATTGGCCTTTTTGGGTAGTTAACATCTACCCAAGGATGAGAATAGCCCCTGTTTCAGGCACAGGATGTTTTCATGGAAGCAGAGGATACCTTTGCCATGTAATCCTGTCCGTTGGATACTAATAGAGGCAGACTTGTGGTTTGCTTCTGCATATGCCTGCTTGCTCTGCCCCATCCCGTGATGCCACCGTATGCTTTTCCTCAGGGACAGCTGTTTCCTGGGTTGTCATTGCTCACCAGGGACATAAACATAGCAGGTTGGCATGAATTGTGTAAATCCTGTGCCATGCAGGACAAACAGCCTGAAGCTTAGCCTTCGCAGTCTCACGCTGTCCCCACCTGCTCTGGAGCAATTGCTGTATGAAAGTGGAATGATGTGAACACTCTTAAAAAGGTAGTGAAGACCAGTTAATGTAAATAGAATAACAAAACATCATCCCCAGCACGTAAGATGAATTTGGAAAGAAGTGAAACTTGAGGCTTTTTTCCTTGTTTCATTCAAGAGATAAGGAACATGGCTGCAGTTCATTAGTAAACCACATTTAGTTTTACACACAGTAAGAGAGCTATAAGTGGCTACATAATAAAAGACATGTCTTTTCCTTTTAATCCAAGGAGAAATAGTTCTCAGAAGCCAATGAGTTTCATTAAGTGATTCATATTTCCTTTGGTTGAGACCAACACAAAAGTTTCACACAGCAATTCCTGGTTCATGCCTGACTCCTCTCATTCTCCTCCAGACAAAGCAGAATGTGGTCCTCATCAGAGCAGGAGAGAAGTATGTGATGGTGGCAGGAGACCCAAAGCAGGAAGGGATTAGGAGAGAATTTCTGATGGTCTGGAGGCTCCCTGTTTCTGCTGCACTTACCACCCGTATCTATACCATTGCAAGCTCCAAGTGACAGGCATCCTGAATGGTGACAAGGACAGGAGGCTCTGCATGGGGAGATCAACCTGGGGTGAATACTTAGTGGTAGTAGCTTTTTTAAAGCTACTTT